TAGGTTTTAGTCTAAGACAGGTTCTCCGTATGATAAATAAATAGGGGGGGGGGGTGAACAGTGCTTACGAATATGTTTGATCTTTCCCACCAACTTATGCAGGTAAGTTTGGTTGCTGTACCGGTGGTAACCATACGGTACTGTGCCGAAGTCAGCACAGCCTACTTATGATACCTCACCAACTTAGGGCTCTGTTACGGGTACAGTACTGTGCTGTGCTCCCGGAGTGCGTAATGCGGGACGGACGGACGGTGGGGCGGAGGGAATGCCGGAGGTGCTTTGGGGGACGTGGTGCTGGAAGGCATGTAATTGTGCTATGATATTACAATCACTCGATCAATCGATCAATCAGTCGGTCGGTCGTAAGCTGGGTATGATAGTATCATACAGGTACGGTGCTTGTGCCCTGCGTATTGGTGGTTGTTCGGATCGTTGGGTCTTTGTCTTGGGGGTGTGGCGAGTACAGCACGAGTAAATTACAGTGCAGTGCTTTCCCCTCTCATGCATGATATCACAACGGCATGTACTGTACTGTATAGTACTCGAGTCCAAGTGCTAGTCTATCTGCGCAGAGCATCCATTCGAGGCTGTAATTTCGGGGGTGATCGGGGCTTTCGGCCGCAACTCATATTGCCTCCACCTCAGGGCTCCTATGTAAATTTAACCTATCTACCGGTTTTCATAGGTGGTTGTCTCCATGCTACAGTGCCGTAGCACAGTACAGCGCCGGTATGGCAGGTCTTGAGGGATATACCTCCCCACATTCTTGCATGCGGATGCGGCACTATCTACGATACAGTACTGTATATGCCCTCGTTTCAACGATCGGTGGTGGGTCCGTCAGTTTCCTCTCCTTCTCCGAAATCCCTTCATCAACCGTGGTCCCGCAGAGGCTTTAGGAGAGGGGGAGGAGGGTTCGACACCACCAGCAAGGGCTCGCTCGGCTTTACGATGATATCATACGGTAATATTATCCGAGAATATTCTCGGGTGAGGCGGCACCGCCGCCCATGTATGGTATGATTGGAAAAAGGGGCTTCTTCCCAGAGCTCATACGGCACCGTACATGCCACATCGTACAGGGCTTCCTTTTGACAGTGCTTTATTCCGCGAGTATAAAATTCCGCTTCCCCAACTCGGCGAGCGGGATTACGACGACTAACCCCAGACCCTAAAATCCACCCACCGTTTTGAGAAAGGCCATGTCTATCGTACCCGCCAGATCACGGACGCATGTGTGTTTGCTCGGGAGCTCATATCCGTCTCATTTTTCATTGTGTTATGAGTGCATCCATCGTCCATCGTAATGTGTTTGCTCGTGAACCTCAAAAACACGTGATCCGACAAAGAGTATTATAACCCCCCCCCCTATTCTCGATCGGGGCGGTGCAGATAGCCGGGCCGCGTGGCTGTTTGCCCTTTATGTTCAATTGCACGGGATTGTACCGCAGGACAATGAACTAGAAGAACAGTGCGCTGCCATTTTTGTACATTACGGTACAAGTACCAGATTGTCCCAGGAATATCATGGTACGGAATACAGTCGCACCCCGCTATAACGAAGGCCAAAAAATCAGGATTTTTCGTCCGTTATAGCGGGGTTTCGGAAGGAATCCCTTATAGCGGGTGCTGTGTGTATGGGAGCAGGGGGGGTAAATTCTTAGAGGATTCGTTCGTAATAGCGAATTTTCCCGTATAATAGATCCCTTATAGCGGGGTGCGACTGTACGTGGCCGGGCTTTCTCTGGCGCTATGGAGGCCTGGCAATGATGCCCAGGCGATGGAATAGAGTTGATCGCAGCCACAGCACTCGCCCTGTAAGGAGGACGGAGTGAAGGTGAAATGTCGCCATGTTGGATCCGTTCCCAAAGGTTGTCCAGTAGAGGATTGGCGGTGGCCTCTCATGGAATATCGATTGCTATCCTGTGCTGGGCACTAGATTGAAATTTTTTGTCCGATGGAGGGTAAGTTATCCCGGTCCGTTTATTATATCCCCGATCATTCCGTTATCATACTCCATCTCAGCCTAGCATAGCACAGTTCACACAGATCCTCTAACAGTAATTAAACCTCCATATATACGAGCCGAAGCACAACCCCCTGTACCAGAAGCCAATGAGCGTTTGTGACTGTTGACAGAGATGGGTTTCGTCGCATCGATCTACCGGTCGTTTGCGATGGGGCGAGGATGGTTTTCGAGAATTGTGCCTTTGCGGCTCCTGGAGTAAGCGGATCAGGGGAAAGGTCACGCCAAAGTGTCCCGGATCTTAGTTAAGAGGCGTGTTATTGAAGGGTACCGTGGTGGAGTACCGGTAAATGAGTCGAGGATATCACCCTGGTTCCAGACATGGGATACGACACCTGAAGTCCCCCCTGCCGGTGCCCCGATGTCCGATGGTTGCGCCCCACAAGATATCATTTCCCACCTATTGATACACATCACACTCCTCTCCGAAACTCCGATTCTCGCACTGGCCAGAAACACCCGTCCCCCGGTCGCTCGCATCCCGCACAGCCACCTCCGCAGGACGTCCGAAGCCCGCCACCCCACAGAAAACCCGAAGAGTGCAAAACAATAATCACCAAACAAGAGGCCCAGAGCTGGGGGCCGCCCACCCGGCGATCTACCATACCGCGCGTCCGTACCCCGGATGCCAGTGGAAACAATTTAAGGAAGCAAAGCTGAACAAGAACCTATCAAGGGTCCAAAACCCTCTGCCCAATTACACAGGCTACGCTCCAGATCGGTTTGGGGCACTACCTATAATACATGTAGCACCGGACAGGGTTGGTGTCTCTGGATGCACGCACAACTGATTGATCTGCGGAGAAGCGCGGACCCGTGAGGGTGGTTCTGAACGCCTATCTCATTTCCTCGCTCACTCTTGCCGGCAGCTGGCTAGAGGAACAATTGTATCAGTGCTTCTACAAAGGCAGATATTCTCAGATTGGCGGATGCGGGTTGGTGAGTGTCCTTGAGGGTGATCGACAAACCAATACCAAATGTCCCATTCTGGTGCGGTAGGTTCAGCGAAATCCCTTATCCTCATCTTCCGCTGGTTTTTCCTTTCCAAGCAGCTATCGTGCCCACCACGTTGAAGCGGTGGTTGAAAATCGCTAGAAAATATGGGGTAATTGGGATCACAATTGACAGATTGGTCATGTAGCCAGCCAGCCACCTAGAGCTAGCTAGCACACTAACCACTTACCATACCGGAGAGGTGTGTCTAGGAAGTTCAAGAACGAGGCCAGGATCCTTGAAGCGCACCATCGTCGCAGCACCTGATATCATAGAAGCGGCCTCAAGCAAGGACGGGGGTAAAGACCCCAACAGCCTGTTTCTTTCTTTCTTTCTTTCTTTCTTTCTTTCTTTCAAGGGAGGAAAACTCCACCCTTTGATCACGAGGAGGAAGAGGGGAGAGGACAATTTCTGCCTAAATTCCCTTCCCCCTCACTCCTTAGTTAACCCCGTGGCGCTTCTGGGAAGACCACCTCCCGGTACAATTGCCGCATGCACAAAGCACCCTGATAGAAAGGGATGCGGGTAGGTAGCAAAAGTACATGGCGTACGACAGTACAGCGCAATTGAGCGCTCCGGGGTCAATTACGAGGGACGAAAGAGGATATTTCGGCTCTCTCTCTCCCTCTTTATCTCGGTGTACTGTAGTTAGCGTATTTCTCACTGCTGGAAAATCAACGAATTGACGGACTAGGATAAAAAAAAAAGTAAGCCATATGGGAAGTCGGACGGGGAGAGAAAGAAAGCGAAATCGGTCAGGAGGAGACAAGCCGTGTCACGGTATATGATATACACGCATGCCAAACGGGCTGTGCCTAAGCTTACCGCGGGTGGTGGGCGGTTGGTCCCATTACACTTTGGAGACCCTTCCCTATCATACGTGTAGTATACCGGTAACCCAATAGCGGTAAAACGGGGTTGCTATGAAGGCGGTGGGGGGACCGGAATATCTCCCTTAGCCCTCCAAGAGCAATCACGAGCATCCCCCCATCCCCAACAGGATTGTTGAGTGAAGCTTGGCCGTCAGCACGAATCCCACACACACCATGCCGCATTAGGAAGAAACGGAAAAAGTAAATAAAGAATCTGTGCAAACCCTCTAACGACCACGACCAAGTATCGCTGTCACCAGTACCGACAGACCC